AGGCCCGAGAAGAGCTCAAAGTCGATCGCAAGCTCCAGCATTGGCGCCTGCCCGTTCTCGGTCCATTGCATGTCCGACAGCCACGCTACCAACGCATAAAACGTCGGTTAACTGGGATATAAGGGCACAAATTTGTTTGGGGTGGGATATAAGGGAAATTTACCAAAAAAGAATCACGTGTGGAAACCCATGCGTTCCACACGTGGAGCGTAAGCCCTGGCTGGACCTCACCGTGTAGGCGCTTTGGTTGTGCGTGGGTTGGAACAGACAAGCCCTGGGCGGGTGAGCAACGACTCGCGGGCGAAGCCTTAGTATATGGCTGCTGAAGCCCGGGGGCAGCACAAATACGATTCTCTCGTGCTGTGGTGCTTTAGCAAGTTCCCTCCCTGCCCGATCAAGTGTTGTCGAGCCTTGTCGTTTGGGTTAGGATGCAAATAATCTGTGGCGATAGTCGGCAATCGCGGCGTAGTCGAGCTCAGGGCAAGCTCTCACCTAGGAGTTGTTCAACGAGCTGAGGCGGAGGGGGATTTGTTGACACTCGTCTCTCGCCCCATCGCTTCAGGTTTGACACGCTGCGGGAGCAGCTCCGATCCTCATTGCTGAACGACCAAGCCAGGCGCGGGTAGGCGGGGGCTTTTCACTTTCACGGGGTACGCAAGCTCTCGCCTTGGAGTTTTTCAACGAGCTGAGGCGGAGGGGGATTTGCTGACACTCGTCTCTCACCCCCTCGCTTCAGGTTCTGACGGTTTACACGTTGTTGCGGGATCAGCTCCGATTCGCACTGCTGAACGATCAGTTCGCACCTTCCCCGCGTAGGTTGCCACAGATTTAATGAGCCGTCTGCAGACCCACTGTTAATCCATTTACTCTGAGACTTGCATGGCTTAATCCATGAAACAAGCATCTGACTACTGGCAGGATCAACCAGGTTTCTTGTCACTCAAACCAGACTGGACCGAGGAAACTGTGCGCGGGTAGACGAGGGGCTTTTCACGGGGGACTCAAGCTCTCATGTAGGAGTTGTTCAACGAGCTGCCTCCAGGCGGCTTCGTGCGTGCACGTAGTGCATCAGCCGTGTGATGGCCTTGCCGTATTTCAGCTCGGCCTCGCACGTAACGCCCTTCCCCGGGCAGCTCCGGGCAACCGCCCGGACCCGCCTCGGCTCCCTCGCGAGGCCACGGCCTACATACGGGCGTGCCTTTGCCGCCGGCACATCGCACCTGTCGAGGAGAAGAGACACTCGTCGCACCCCCTCGCTTTAGGTTTTGACGGTTTGCACGGGTTTGCGGGATCAGCTCCGATTCGCACTGCTGAACGATCAGTTCGCACCTTCCCCGCGTAGGTTGCCACAGATTTAATGAGCCGTCTGCAGACCCACTGTTAATCCATTTACTCTGAGACTTGCATGGCTTAATCCATGAAACAAGCATCTGGCTACTGGCAGGATCAACCAGGTTTCTTGTCACTCAAACCAGACTGGACCGAGGAAACTGTGCGCGGGTAGACGAGGGGCTTTTCACGGGGGATTCAAGCTCTCATGTAGGAGTTGTTCAACGAGCTGCCTCCAGGCGGCTTCGTGCGTGCACGTAGTGCATCAGCCGTGTGATGGCCTTGCCGTATTTCAGCTCGGCCTCGCACGTAACGCCCTTCCCAGGGCAGCTCCGGGCAACCGCCCGGACCCGCCTCGGCTCCCTCGCGAGGCCACGGCCTACATACGGGCGTGCCTTTGCCGCCGGCACATCGCACCTGTCGAGGAGAAGAGACACTCGTCGCACCCCCTCGCTGTAGGTTTTGACGGTTTGCACGGGTTTGCGGGATCGGCTCCGATTCGCACGGAACGATCCGTTCGTGCGCCTTCCCCTTATTCCTCAAAACCAGCACCAAATACCAACGACTCCCGCCCGCAACGCGCGGATGTGGTGCCTGGCAAAGTCACCGTTGGGGGTCCCTTCGCAGCCCTGCTCCAGAGGCGAAGCCTGAATTCCAGTCGACGGGGGTGTGAAAAAGTGCGGGGGTGGCTACTCCCGCATCGAGGGGGTATATGCAACTCTGGCAGGTGACCCCCCCCTTATGCTCTATTTCTTTTTTTTTGCCTGACCCTACGTACTGATTTTCGGTAGGTATTTAGTACTCCGACGAAGACAGTTGAAGTATGGCTAAAGATAAAGTGGTGTCACCTGAGGGGGTAATCTCAGGGCCAACAACAAAAGAGCGCGTAGCCCTGATTACGACGAGGGACAGATGAGAACGGAGGGATTTGTGCACTCATCAAAGAGCACGACGCGAGAGGACTTGCAGATACGTGAGGACGGTTGCAATATTTTTTTTATTTTTTTTCCAGAGGTCTCGCGCATGGGAATAGTTGAGTCGCAGCTCGTGGCACAACAGATCAACTACACCCTGAAGGATTTTGCCTATTTTCAACGGAAGAACGGGGGGTTCTGCCCCTGCAAAAACAAACGATTTATGACGGAGTTTTGGTCTCGCGGGGGCCTCAAAAAAGCCTGGGAACAAGTGCAATAACGAAAGAAATCGGGGAACACAGAGTGTTTGACATCACTCTCGCGATTCGGAGAAGAACGAGAAAGAGAGTGTGTGTGTGTGGGAGAGAGAGAGAGAGAGAGAGAGAGAGAGAGAGAGAGAGAGAGAGAGAGGAGAGAGAGAGAGAGAGAGAGAGAGAGGAGAGAGAGAGAGAGAGAGAGAGAGAGAGAGAGAGAAGAGAGAAGAGAGAGGAGAGAGAGAGAGAGAGAGAGAGAGAGAGAGAGAGAGAGAGAGAGAGAAGAGAGAGAGAGAGAGAGAGAGAGAGAGAGAGAGAAGAGAGAGAGAGAGAGAGAGAGGGAGAAGTTCGCTCCCGGGGCAAGAGCATAACGGTCAACCACAGCATGCAAAGCTTGAGTTCGAAGGTTGGCAGAGTGCCACAACCACGTCCGCTCTGCCCTGTGGTTGACCGTCTCTACAGGCTTCCACCGTAAATGGGTTAGCTAGCACGAAAGAAGACCGGTGTCGTCAGCCCGGAGGGCTAAGGTTGTGCCAGAGACCGAGGCAGGAGCTGAGCCTGGATACGGACTTGAACACGAAGCGAGGTCAAAGCATTGTGAGGCCATGATTCGGTCGGTACTGAAGATCGTGTAACGAGCAATCTTTAGTCGTGAAGGGTCAAATGTACACTAACCCCAAACTCAGCCAAAATACTCGAGGGACTGCCTTGTGCTCATTTCGAAGGAGGCTAGAGGGGAGAAAACAATACAACTACAAAGTGGGTCTTTTTTGTTGAACGCTTATGCCCGCCACTAAACCCAGATTTACCTGTGTTTCGTGTGGGCTACAGCACATTTACCTTTGATCTATCGCAACTGGCAGTCTCCTCAAGCATTTCCTGCAAAGCAGGTGCTTATACAAAAAAACTGCACTAATTTGATCGTTCAGTAATAAGGACGGGGTCCTCAGCGCCTTCGTGCTCGTCGGGGTAGCGTTCTCAGTCACTCCGTCGCCAGTTTCTTGTCGTCTTCTTTCATTCCTACACACCCAAGTGGCCGGTGAGCCGACACCTCCCCTTCGTCGCGAGCACGTGGACCGGGTGGAAGCCGGTTGCACGTAGCTGTGTTGCAGAGCCACGGCTGCCGACGTGGCTACCGGTCTCCCCGCACCAAAGCATCAAGGCGTGGCGCTCCGTGGGGCTTGGCGCTTGCGCCGCATACCGAAAATGGGTTCATTGGCGAAGGGCTTTATCAGCGAAGGGTTTTTACAGTGAGCGGTCAAATTCGTGAAGGGTTTTTATAGTGAGCGGTCAAATTAGTGAAAGTCTTCAGCTCAGAAGTAGTGAACACCGACCGGTTCACAAATCAAAACGGGCCTTCTGAGTGCACTTGGGCAAGCCCTGAAATCCTTCGCACGGATCCGTCTCGGAATGGGTCTGGCCTGATCCAGCTGCCGGTCCGCGCGGTTCGGAAGAAGACAGAGAGAGGTGTGGGTGCTTTCTTCTTTTTTTCTCCGTGTTCTCGGTACCCCCGAAAACCCCCGTGTGTTGCACAGTTTCTGCTTAGTTCGTGCGTATAAGTCGATCACACTCGCGTAGTTTGTGCAGAGCTTTTGCGTACTTCGTTGCTTCAGTTTCCGGGGGTACCAGTTCTTGTTTTCCCGACGACAGCCAAGTGTCCGACCGGCCCACGGTAGCCCCCCCCCCCAAGGAAGAGTATTTTATTATATTTTATTTTACTGCATATTATTGTATTTTATGTATTTTTCAGGCCCGAAATTTTGAAAAATAAAATACACGTGGTATGGTTCAATTTTGATGGGCTGTTCGGCACTGTCTCCCCACACTTCAACGGGGGAAACTCTTTTTTAGAGTGCAAGTTCACACATTTTTAGGGGTAAACCCAAAACAAACCGGTATTAGCCAGTCTTTACATTCCAGCAGAACATCCAGCAGAGCACATAGGAATCATGTTACATTCACGCAAGTACTTTTTGCACTTATGAGCACTGTCCTGTAGGTAAAGCAAAGCGCAAAAAGTCATAACAAGATGCCAAGGAAAACTTGCTGGGCCCAGGTACATCAGAAATGCTGAATGTGTGCAGAGGGAGCCGGCTGAAGCTCAAATTAGCACGGAGTGGTTAGAGAAACGACACAGAGAAACGACGCCTAACTTTCCTGAGCATTTTCAATGATTTGGTACGAGTAGAATGCTGTGGCACCCTAAAACCAACAGCAGCAAAGGAAATCTACAAAACGGTAACACAATGTAGCGAGACTTTTGGCCGCCAGGCTGCAAACCTGAAGAACTGCTACTGTTACATGGTGCTTGTATTTTATTGTATTTTATTGTATTTTATTGTATTTTATTGTATTTTATTGTATTTTATTGTATTTTATTTTATTCGGGCTGAGTCAGTGTATTTTATCTTGGTAAATTTCCCTTATATCCCACCCCAAACAAATTTGTGCCCTTATATCCCACTTCAAACAAATTTTGTGCCCTTATATCCCACTTCAAACAAATTTTGTGCCCTTATATCCCAGATTGGGATATAAGGGCACAAAATTTGTTTAAGTGGGATATAAGGGCACAAAATTTGTTTAAGTGGGATATAAGGGCACAAAATTTGTTTGGTCGTGTAAAAAGTCTTTTGAGCCGGACACCTGTGGTGCCGGTGGCGTGCGTGCTTTGACTCGGCCACAACGTCCAAAAATTCGAGGGCAAAATTTTCGACCAAATTTTGCCCCAACATTTTGCCCAACTAGATTTTGACCAAAAATTGGGACCCAAAAAATTCGACCAAAAATCTCGACCAAAAATTTCGATGCCAAAAAATTGGACCAAAAATTTGGACCCAAAATTTCGACCCCAAAAATTGGACCCCAAGAATTTCGACCAAAGATTTGGACCAAAAATCTCGACCAAAATTTTCGACCCCAAAAATTTGGACCCCTAAAATTTGACCAAAATTTTTGACCCAGTCCAGCCCGTTCCATTCGTTTTTGGTGTTTCCTTGTCCGTAGGCATAAAGCTGGCTTCAGTGCCCCACCCGAGACGTCTCAAGACGTTCTGGGTGCCTCAGAGCGACTGGTTGCACCGTTTCACAACTTCAAGCTGGCCACCGCGGCCACACTCGATCCCCGATCGGGTGCCTCAACTTGGGAGGCTCAAGCAAGTACTCAAGAGAACCGCATCAGAGCCAGGTGCCTGGCTGCACCGTCTGACCGTGCGGCGTGTCACGGCGTGCCACGCTGACGTTCGGGGCTAATCGCGGTGACAGAACTGTAGTAGCTGGCCAGATGCTACAGCCGAGAGTCAGGCGAGACAACTGATCTCATCAGACTCATGATCCGTTTCTTGGCCTGACATACCAGTGACCACGGTCATTCTCCACTGTCCTTGTTGAGGCTGTGTCACACTGTGACTGTCACAGTGTCAGTGAGTGACCGGACAGTGTCGCGGCAGCCGTAGCACGTCTGCAGGATTCACCTCCAGATTCGGGGACCAGAACACAGGGTATCGCTATAGCTGTCCGACTCCGAGTGCCTGGAGTGGAGAGCCTGGTCCAGTTACCTCTGGACAATGGAGCAGCAGCTGCAGCAAGGAACAGCAGCAGGACCGGGACTACTGGCTCAGTGGAGGGAAGGCGCCGCTGTCACGCGGCTGCGAGTCAGCCACAGTCACAGCTGATTTCACTTACGCAGTGAAGCCTGCAGTGAAGGAAGCTGTGTCCACCGTCGTGCAACCGGTGTGTGTGCAACCAGTTGCGGTGCAGGCGTGGGCACAACGACAGTTGATGACTTTAGGAAGGAATCAGCCATTCTTGCGTGAGCTGCAGATTCCGTCTGTCGGCAACAGTGTCCGACTGTGTCGCCACCTTGGGTTGTTAGCCCACCGTCCTCCGCGGTTCTGGCCATCTGTCTTGTAATCTGGGTTCAGTTCCGAGTTTGGTTTCCTATCCGAGGCTATCGGGCACTGGTTCGGTTTCGGGTTGAGGTTCGGTTTCGGGTTCGGTTCTGCCACCATCACTCCTCAGAACTTCTGGGTTCGGGTTCGATTTCGGCTTTGGCTCGCCGTGCCAGGCGTGGGCGTCAACTCGCGACACGTGATGTCTCCATGTCACTGCCAATGTCAGCGTGGACGCATGCAGTGGCAATAGCAACAGCAACAGGAGTCCAGCGTCCGGCTGGACGAAAAGTTTTTTTTTTTCGCCGTAGGTATCCGGATGGTCGAGCCAACCACCCTTGGGTTTCAAGGTGAGTGGTCGGGGGTTCAAGCCCCTCCTCGGCAAGTTTTCCAGCATTTTCCTCGATTCAAATTTGTCAAAACAAATTTGTGCCCTTATATCCCAGTTTGGGATATAAGGGCACAAAATTTGTTTGAAGTGGGATATAAGGGCACAAATTTGTTTTGAGTGGGATATAAGGGCATTACACCATTTTATCTTCCTTGCCCCCCCCCCCCCCCCCCCCTCTCAAAATTGGGGTCACTACCGTTCGGGAGTTGCATGCGGTACAAAGCTTGAGAGAGAGAGAGAGACGAGTTAGAGTGCAGGGACCATCTCTCCGAGGAGTATCCGGTCGCCCCACTACTATCCCGTACTACTACGGCGGGCGCAAGTCGTTGCGCCGTGGGCGCGGAGCGAGCCGTGGCCCTGTCAAAGATGTTGATTCATGTTTCCCTTTCACGGATTGGGTAGCCCTTTTTTTTTTTCTCCGTTTTTTTTTTGTGTTTCCGACGATCCCGAATGGACGTACAGATTGGTGTCTTTCGACCTTTTGTATGCTTGTGGAGTTCAGCTTAGTACGTGCTTGTGGTGATCGGTGGGGTTCCCAAAATAAATGTTTTGTGTTATCGTATTTTCGAGCTAGACTTGATCTCGAATCGTACGCGATGAAGAGCGCGATGCGACGGCTGACGAGTATCGTGCAGACGCCGATGCACCCGGCGCTTGAGATGCAAGTCAACGTCCTGACGTCTCTCGGAGGCGGGAACATGGCCAACTCAACAAGAGACCACAAATAGCGAACCAGCCGTTTGAAGCTGTGATGCGCGCCTACGAAGCCGCCGCACAATTCGTGCATTAGCCAAGTGGCCCATTCTGTTGCTTTTCCGCTGGGCTCCTGATAGCGGACTCGCGCGCAAACGGACAGCATGACTGCTGTGTTGCGGGCCGCAAATTCATCCAATATTTGCCTGTAGGTTACCTCACTCTGTCCAAAGATGCGCGTGAGGTTGGCTTCGGGTCCGTAGCATGGTATATGTCGTTCGTCGCAAGCCGTCAGGACATGATCTGCACTTCCTCGGTGGTAGCAGCCTTCTACGGCGCACTCGTTGCGGGTTTTGAACGGCATGATGGCTCTACGGGTGAGTGCGGACTCGCGATTTTTTTTTTGTGTTACCGTCGATCCCGAAGGCGATCAGTTTGGTGTCTTGCGACCTTTGTTTGTTTGGCAAGGAGTTTTGGTGACGTGCTTCAGTTAGTGAAAGAAAATAAGAAATTGAGGTGCCAAATCAGTTTGCTCGCTCTCTTACCGGGTGCTCAATTCACTTCTCAGCCAGTTTGCCCACTCTGCGGCTTTGTCTTCCGACTCTTGCACTCGTATCCGCTCGCAAACACTCTTCATTACATTTTTTTTTTTTTTTTTTTTCTGATTCGGTTTGTTCGGCCGAGAACGTGGGGAGTGGTTAACACCACTTGTCTGTCAATTGTTGAAGTGGCGGCATTTCGCCGTTTTTTTTCTTTTGCTTTGCTGCCTTGTGTTTTCGGAGGGGAGATACTTGGACAAAGCCAGAGAATGACAGAAAATCTCGGATTTCCGTTCCGCTGCGAGAACAATTGTGTGCATTGCACCTCCTCGCCCGAGTTGCCGTCTTCGACCGTAACTGCCCCTGGTCCTGGTGGCTATGCAAAAAGCCTGTGGCGATAATCTGCATCTGCTCTCTTTCGTGACCTCTTCGTGCTACCTCTCTTCGTCACTGGTACCTTATCTTGCACCTCTGCCCGCAAAAAGTGTCGTGGCTCTAATTGTGCGCACAGCCGGGGGCATTTGTTTGTGTGTGCGTGTGTAAACCCGATTTTACACAGCACGCTGCCATCCGACACTTTTTGACGTAGACAAGCAAGCTTGTTACCATAAGAAATTACGGAGCGTGACAATATTGTCCATATTTCACGGGCGTGAAATATTGCAATTTCATATTTCCATGTCGCCACACTGCGCGTAGCTGTTCTACGCCCCAACAGCTGAGGGCAGCTACACGGTGGAGTCGAGCCTCAGAACCTGGAGTGCACTATGTGATATCATGCAGGGTCAAAACCTTGTGTCTTTTTGGAAATGGCAAAAAAAAAAAATTCCGGAAAAAAATTGGGTTTTTTGAATTTTAAAAAATTTTGGAACAAACTCTGCAGTAATTTTTGATGAAGTTGAGCAAAATAATAAAATCCTCACTCCTATGCTTGTGTCTGTCACTCTCGTCCTCCGCTCCTGCTCTGCTTGCCGCGCGCAGTATAGTTGGAGCAAAAGGTGAAGCCAGAAAGCTGTTAATCTTGCTGCTGACCACATGAAGTGGTGCCACGGGAACTCCGAAGAAAAATGAAGCAAGTGGGAAGGGAGGGAGGGGAAGCAAGCTACTTTGTTCCTCTGGACGGATTGGGAGCGGCAAACCTGTCGTTCGGATTATTATTAGTCTTCAAAGAAACAAGTTTCTTTTCCTACTAATAAAATCCTCACTCCTATGCTTGTGTCTGTCACTCTCGTCCTCCGCTCCTGCTCTGCTTGCCGCGCGCAGTATAGTTGGAGCAAAAGGTGAAGCCAGAAAGCTGTTAATCTTGCTGCTGACCACATGAAGTGGTGCATCCCTGCGCGTAGTCGCTTGTGTGAAGTCACTACAAACAGTTCCCGGGCGTGAATAAAAAAGAAATTATGACGTGAGAAAGAAATATGATGCGAATAACAGTCTCGAGGACGGATGAGAGGTCCTCACTACTTCGGAACCTGACGAGACAGCGCGTCGGCCAGCTGTTCTTTGGTGCTAACCAACCTCAGCTCGATGCTCGAACCCTGGAGACGTGCTGCTCTCTTGACTCTCCGTAGGATCCGGGCTGTCAGCGGGTCCTTGCAACGTCCCCTCTTGAAAGCGTAAACACATATCGAGTTGTCTACGAAAGCCCGAATGCTCACGGGGGAGCGGACCCGGCGCAGCAGCTTCTCCACCCCTGTCAGAAGGGCCAGCGCCTCCAGACGATGGATCGGGTGCTTTGCCTCCAACGGTGTCCAGGCACCCCACGAAGAGAACAACCCGCGCGACAGGGCTCCCCAGCCAGTTGTCGACGCGTCAGTCCAAAGCTCGCACAGCCTATGTTGTTCGGCCTGCGGTATCCGTTTCCACCCGGCTATGGCACGTCGCAGTCTCCGCAGAGTTGACACGAGCGACGGCCACGGAGTGTACGGGGAGTCCCACAGGGCTGGTCGCTCATGCAGTAGCCTGCCGACCCTGGACTGAAACAGGCTCAAGACAGGGAAGTCCCATCCATCCATTCCTAGAAAATACAAATAAAAATTGCACACGCCCAGAACCCGGTAGATGTCTCTGAAGGACGAGCCTCCTGAAACCGCGTCTATGGCCGGGCCG